TTTCAACTGTATGTTCATAAATAGTATTTATGTTGAAAATAGTTTTATAATTATATTTTAAATATTGTTTTCATAGACGGGTGCTCTGGAGGGACAGCATTTCAAGAAAAGCGGACAATTGATATCCCTATCCGAGCAGAATCTAGTCGATTGTGATCGCTTATATAACAAGGGATGTAATGGTGGACTACCTATCTATGCTTATGTGTACATTCAACTTAATGGTGGTATCGATCAGGAATTAGCCTATCCTTATGAGGAACTGGTATTTGTTTAACATTTATCTAATATTCATAAATAAAATAATAATACAAATATAGCCATCATTTTACATAAAAACAGACAATTTCCTAGTTGAGATATTAAACAAATATAATTTAAGCTATGCGCTTTAACTTATAATAAATTTATTTATGTTGACTTTATCATTATAATTAAAAGCAATTTTTAAATCAATCATTTAATTTATAGGATAGTATTTGTCGGTTCAACCGGGGGGCTGTGGGCGCACAGGTATCCGGTGCCGGTATCGTACCGGAGGGCAATGAGGAGCTACTTAAGGCGGCGGTGGCAACGGTGGGGCCGATATCGGTGGGCATAAACGCCAACTATTTGCAACAGTACGCGGGAGGGGTGTATGACTTCCCCCTGTGCACGGCTGATGAGATCAATCACGCGGTACTGGTGGTGGGCTACGGCACCGCACCCACCGGTCAGGAGTATTGGCTCGTGAAGAACTCGTGGGGCACTGAATGGGGTATGGGTGGCTATGTTATGATGGCACGTAATAAGGGCAACCAGTGCGGTATAGCATCCATGGCCACGTACCCAGTTGTTTAATATGTAAAACCGTAGCGTATTAAATAAAGTTTGTTCAAATCTATGATGTTTTGTAACTTTATTTTTGTCATATACTGTATACAATTTTTGTGTAATTAAAGAGTTGTNATCCATGGCCACGTACCCAGTTGTTTAATATGTAAAACCGTAGCGTATTAAATAAAGTTTGTTCAAATCTATGATGTTTTGTAACTTTATTTTTGTCATATACTGTATACAATTTTTGTGTAATTAAAGAGTTGTCCACAAAGTACTCGCACTGGAATTAATTTGTAAACTGTTTAAATGTGTAAACCAAATAATTGTTCTAGAACATCTCAAAGATGGTATTTTACCATTGATTCCTGCCATAAACAAATACTCCTACAAGTAATAAATCCAAAATATTTTTCTATGGCCACAATCAATGGTAAAATACCATCTTTGAGATGCTCTAGAACAGTTATTTGGTGAGATATTTTAAAAATTGAAACGAAGACCTTGTTTATTTTTTAAGATCTATGAAGCGTACTAATTAAATTTACCCTGAGATTTGTAATATTGTCACAATAAAATCGCCATTTCCTCCCAGTGCTGAAGGTTAGCAAAAATCTGTAAAATTATGGATTGATAGAGAATTGAATTATCTGCATTTTCCATATCATAACTTTGATATATTCCAATCCCCCTTGCTTCTAAAATTATTTAAAACTCAGTTTTAATGGTATACCCGTCCTCCCTGGCCAAAAACTATTCATGATAGAGAAAATTCATTAGGGGCATGTATCCGTATTTTTTAACGCTCTTTCGAATGGTGTACTTAAATTCCCTCTAGGACTTATAGTTTTTGCTCTAGGCCAGTTACCAGTCCCCATACCAGCCCTTTACAGTAACATATCTGTGTCTTCGGGAAAAGGAAGACCTTTAAAAAACGAAAAAAGTATATTTTTAAATTATTTTTATTTGATCTAGTTTACAAATTAATTCCAGT